TTCCATATACTTTCTTGACAAACGACGTATAATCGGGAACGACGTAACTCGAGGTATACCTGTATTATTGTCTGTTACATATATACTCTGTATTACATGTTACTCGTAGTAAACTGTAATAATAATCATTTTAATAAACACGACTACAAAATATCATTGTTTCGATATATACAGAAATTAGAAACTAATGCTAATTATGAATAACACGATTGACGTAAGTTTTCTTTTAATTTTTCCATTCTGCAGGCCTTAAGAAGGACTTTTTTTTATGCTTATCTTAGGTTTGGCTGGCTTTCATCAGTGACTGACTTGTGAGTTATAAAAACAGAACTAGGTATTTTCAGATAAAACCGTCCACAAATATTTCTGGGATTAAAACGTTTGTATACTTTATTCAATAATTTATTTGAATCAATTTAATATAAATGCTATTTTTCTTAATTATTATCTAATTTTATATGAATTTAGGTTGAAGACGTGATCTAGAACTACATCTCGTGATGTTAGGTCAGGTTCATTCACCCGAGACGAATTTTACGACCCGGAAGTGAGAGAGCTTGTAACATTTTTTGCCTTCATTGCATAATATTATAATAAATTAACAATTGTTCACAAAAGTAATTTGAGAAATTTTCACAAATTACTTTAGACTACTTAAGATTGAGCCACGTCAGTCAAAATTCTTAAAGAAAATCAATTTTCGCAGAAATTTCACTAAGACGGCCTGAATTGTGTATGCCCGATATGAAAATTATGCGTAAACAATATGATCAATATTATGTGCATTGGGGATTTTATCAGCATATTTTAAAATCAATAACACATGGCCATATCAATTCAAATCCTGTTTCGGAATTGTTATCATCAGCATAATTACAGGAACTTTCGAAATGTGTTTTGTATTAAATCATTCATAATCGTTAATTCATATACAGTAAATTATAATTATCAAATTGTAAATGATGTTCTTCATCATTATCATTATTACCATCTTGTCTTGTTACGGTTTCATTCCATCTTCTCAAGAATAGAGTTAATAAAAAATATTCTTATTTATTATATTTTATTATAACTTTTACATAGCCTATAGATCCTATATATGACCTTTTATATAGGTGTTTAGATAAGGTCTATAGATATGTAGGTCCTTTATCTTTTCACTTAAATAACTTAAATATTATATATGTGTATATACTGTATTTGCAATCTAGCTCGTTATTACTATAAAATCTACAGAATAAAAAATAAATATTACTTTAATAGAATGACAGGAATAACTAATATTGACTTTCCAAGAACTAGCTAACACTTACCCATCAAACATGAAATTTTTATTTATTTAATTTTTTTACTGTAGATGTGTTTTTACCCGGAATATTACAACAGAAAATAATCTTTACTTAATAAAATTTGCTGTTAATAAAATAAATTAATTTTTATGAATATAAGAAACTGAATTTATTTTATTAACAGTAACTTTTATTAATTAAAAATTATTTTCTAAATTAATATAAAGTGACGATGATCAACCGTAAGTAATAAAAAATCTGTTCCAATACTTTACTGGATCAAAGTAGTCAAATCTTCTATCTTTTTGTCTTCCCAAATCTTACTTCGTAGATCATCTTCTAGTCTTTATCTATTTTATCTTTAATCTGATCTTTCAATCTCTTTCTAGGTATTTTTGGTCTACTGCTTTCTATTTTCTGCAATAAATTTATTCTAAAATTCAAAATCTGTTTAAACTTTATCATTCATTATGTACGATTTTATCATTCTAATAAAATTTTTACCAAATTCTTTCTACTTTCTCATTTACTACTTAACATAAGATAAATCGTTAAAATTAATGAAGTCACCAGTCATACTTTCGTGACATAAATTAAATAGAATTTTTAAATATATATTTAATAAACCACAGTAATTTAATTATATAATCAAAGATTGCTAAATTTGTAATTATTTTAACAGGAAATATCCTGCCAATTCTGCTATTTAACTATCTGAAACTAGTCACAAACAAATCGCTTCATCCGGATAAACAGGTCATATAAATTTTTAATCAGTTAATTTCAAAATTTTGAATAATTCTAGTTACAATATCAATTAATTAATATACATAATGCTAATAAATATAATTAAAAATNTGCGACGCAGAACTATTCGCCCTAGGAAGCTGTGCTAAAAAAGGGATTTGGATAAAATTCTTTCTACAAGAACTGTTTGGAAAACTCGAAACAATCCAACTTCTATGCGACAACCAATCTGCGATTTCCATAGCGAAATCAGGCTACACGAGTAACAACTCGAATCATTTAATCAGACTGGCATCATATCTAAGTCAACAGATGGAAGAAGGAACATTTCAACTTAAATATATAAAAACCGAAGAAAACGTAGCCGACGCCTTTACAAAACCGTTAAGTCGACCAAAGTTAAATCTGTTCGTCAAAGACGATTTTTTGTATATGTGAATCCGCCGCACCCAATCCCTGGCCAAATTAGGCGGGGAATCTGTCGTGGCTATAATTTGGCTATGGGAAGGCTGCGGATACATCTTAATTAATTAAAAAATCATCTCTGTTAGGTGGCGTTGATCGAAGCACGAGGTGTGCTTACCTTTAATGTAGAGCTTGTTAATTAAACCTTTCTAGTTAGAAATAAAGCTGTTTTGTTGTCAAAGGATTGCGTTAATTGTGAATAGCATGAGAAATTAACTCAACATTATCTACGTGGACTTTTTAATGGTATTAGTGGCATACAAATTTGTTTTTATAATATAGGCCTACATATATAATATATATATAAATTTATTTTTGAGGTCCATTAAAAGAACGATGGAAGATTTATTTAAGTCTACAATAAAATGAACGTTTTTATTACAGACACAGCAGTAAAAAAAATCACACAATAAAAATGTGTACAATAGTTTTACAATGAATTGGAAAATTCAATAGGTGTATTCACCTACAACATTGCTTTTCAGCTTTTAGAAGCGCCGAATTAATTAATTACAGAAAATAAGTCCAGACTTGCAGTACTATCTCGTTCAATGGACAAGATCGAAAGTGAAGAAAGTCTCTCTTTGACACGTTTGGAGATAGTTTTTCAATTTTAACTTTGAATATGATCGTTCTGCAGATGCATCAGATACCGATACAATTATACTTTGAATAATTACTAAACGTGAATATGCCAAACTTTCTATAAAAGTTTTAAATAGAAATTTTTAATACTAATTTTAAAATGGCAGACGGTATACTTACAATATATCAATATATGAAATACAGGAGATACAAAACGTCTTCATTTCCGTCCTTTTCAATACCAGGAACTAACAGTCTTTCTTAGCAGAGACGACCTTTTATTGTAGGTTACGACTCTGCTACAAAATGCAAAAAAAAAACAGTTAAAAATGTTCACTGATGATAAGCCACAAGACGTTTTGTATCTTCAGTATTATATATAAAATCTTGTATACTTCTATACAATAATTATTAACTGTTTATAATTGTATATACAGTATTTATTAAAATATTAAATAAATATTAAAATATGGCTGCAATTTGAAAAAATGCAGACATAACTTTTCATTGTCGTCTGTCCGTTCGTCCGTCCGTCTTTCCTTAATTTCGAGAATGGAGTTAGAACGATAAAATAATAGACGAAATATGGAAAGAGTAGGAGCATGAGGCACCGATTAACTATATATGAACTTCTGGTTTTCACTGGAAGTCACGTTATTTCAATTCAAAATTTTCCCTGAAAGGAGTTAAATAGATTTAAATTTTTGAATTGAAATAACATGACTTTCGGTTTGAATAGAATGTTTTTATATAGTTAATCTGGACCTCCTGCCTCTGCTGTTTCCATATTTGGTCTCGTCTTTCATCTATCTAACGTTCTTGAGATTAAGGAAAGACAGACAAACGGACGAGAGTGAGGATTTAGAGGTCTAAATTTTTTTTTTAAATTACAGCCCAATAAAAATATGAAAATATAAATAGAATTTATTAATAGAATCTGCGTAGTTAACCGAAAAATAGGGTATATTCTTAAATGATAAAATTAATAAATATATTATATTTTTGAAAGCCTAAGCAACAAGAAAAAGCTTTGTTTGTAATAAATTTATAGTTTTATATCTATAAACTGTATTATTATTATTATAATTAATATTTAAGTTTTATAGCTTAATAAATACTTTAAATTATATGTCATATTTTAAGCCAATAAAAACATATTTAATATTTTTGTCCACAGATGACGCCACTGTCTATGGAAATTTATAATGTGAAAAGATATTGAAGCGTTCATAAAGATGTTTACGAATTTCGTATCTATTTTTTCCCTTCTTTTCTTTTAATCTTAAGAACAAAACAAATATGTGATTTTTCCGATAGTCTTTACGTACTTTAGATTTTTGTTTTATTTTCAATTTAGCATTAATTTCATCCTATCTTTGTTGAATGCACTGTAAAATACCCCGTTGAAAGAGTAAAACCGAAAGTAAAGTTGAAAAATAACTAAATTGTTTTAAATTAAAATTTGATAATATTTTATTTCCCTATTATCTAAATACTAAAGCATATATAATAATTCTATTTTGTCTTATCTGTATGATGAAACTCTGTCCTCCTAAACAGAAACACATGTTTTCTTTATGATAAAGAGGTTCAGAGTTCCATTGTAGCTATAAAATATAATTTATATGTAATTCATTTTGACAAATATGATAAATAAATTTACTTTTTAAAATTCTATTTTAGTTCAATACACTAAATTTCCTATTGAAGAATATTTGAATATTTTTCGATTTTAACAATTAACCTGACATGATCGATAACCAGTGGTTATCGAGTGAAAAGAGCTCCGATGTCCTAAATCCGCCATTGTTAGTGGGTGTAAAATATTTATTTTAGAAAATAACAACAAGTAAAAATAATCTTAAAATATTTTATTTTAAAAATGTTCACAAAATATTTTAAACATACAGTATACTAATCTTTCATTGGTAGACATTCAGTTCATTCAAAATGAAGTTATTCCTCAAAAATTTATTATAAGACTTCATTAATGTTTGAAAAAGAAAAAACAGAAAGAGATAATTAAACTAAAGCAGCACCTTCAAGAGCTTCTATAGATTTTTTTCTTCTTCCCAATTCTCCTGAATCAAGAACATCCAATCCTTTATTTTCTAGTCTCTTCAAATTAATCTTTTCGGCTAACATAGACATAAATTCTCGAAAATGTAAGCTGTGTATATTGCTACTAAGCAAATAAAGCATAAACCAATCACCAAAATGAATTTCTTTCATAATATCTTCTATATCTTTCTTATTAGCAATAATGTTTTTATTTCGTAATAAAACAAAACGAAGTCGTGGCCATCCAATAACTAGAATTCTGTATGCAACATTTATACCTGTTATTATAGCTAAAATAACCATCCAAAACCATAAAAAAATATAGATTTTTTCGTTAACAATGTTAAGTGGTAAAATACATAAGGCATCGTGTGTTTGAACACTTCCGGCTGAACCAAATCTGTGGAATGTACATTTGGCCATTCTCGGAAATACTTTAATCATTGGATCAAAACGATCTTCTTGATTCATTTGAGTGAATTTTACAACATCAGGACCATATGTTGTAAATTCTCCACCTAAGAATCTATCGACGAGATAAATTTGGCCAACAACATTAACAAAATTCAAACATTCACAAATAAAGAATCGAAAAGCGTAACCATTATGACGATGCCAATTATCATTGAAATATGATGCTAATTGCTTGCATTTGTCTTCTCTATCCTCTTTTTTCATTACTGGCTTATGCATTTCCATTACTAAATCGGTTAGTTTACCACCTTCCCATGCTTTCCATAAAATTCTAGGAACATAAAACATCAAACCTTGTAAAAACAGTACAAAACATACCCATTGATAGTAGGCGTGTTCTATTACTTCGTCGCCGCTTTTATGTTTGTCGACACCTGGATATACAACTTCTTCTCCAACTTTCTTAGTAAGGGCTTTTGGTAGAGTGAACGTACTTTCAATCCAGCAGTAAGTGTTGATGACTCTCTCAGGTATATCATCTCGCTGAATGCATCTGATGGGATCTCCAAAAAATTGTGTTGCAGTAACTAAAATGCTGAATGTAATGAAAAGCAAAGTTGTTGCACGATAATGAAGACGAAAAACAGCATTGTCTATAGTTAATCGTTTAATTTTAATGATGCCTCTTAAGGCATCGGTCAAAAAAATCTTATCCATGCTTAGTGCAACACCTCAATATCACTGTACTGAGCTTTCGAGTCCGACTAACTGAACATTGGACTTAACAAGCATTTACTATCACTGTGGGCCTGATTAATCATATCTAGAGAGATAAAATAATATTATCTACAGGAATGTATTGTGAGACTCTTACTAATTGTTTATTTTACTGAATTCTTGCATACATTTTGAAAAATAAATAATTATTCGAATATTAAACAGGATTATCCGTAAAAAATTAGGATAAGAAATTTTTCGAAATTTTTAAGATATTACTCACCCAATTCGAATAATTTTGCTTATAAAACATCGAAAATATCATGCTCTTAATTGTGATAAATGGAAAATTATTGTTAAAAAAGGCAAAAAATATAAAATGATTTCACCTATTGTATTAATTTGAAGATCTGTTATTTTAATTTTTATTTATTTATAATTAAAAATTTATGTTTATAAAATTAAGGAAATAAAATAAAAATTCCATTTAATATATGAAAACGAATTTATCAAATATATGATAAAATTAAATTAATAGCTAAAAGAAGATTACTCTTGTCATTTTCTTATCTCGTAACAATTATACAAGTTTATCAGATTATAAAGTTAATTGATAAATTTACCTAACAGGTAAAGAAAAGTACTTTTGTTTTAGATTACATACATTCTAAATTATAATATTAAATTCAAGCGTATGTAGAGGAACCAGAAGGGCCATTTAATCAGGCTTATAACATAGAAAGTACCTCAAATTTAGTTATTGTGTGAAAAATAAAATAAAAGCATGGTAAACTGATATAAATTAAAATGCCCTTTAGATAAGTAGTAAAATATCTGCTTTCTATTTGTTTTATTGATTTCATTCTTGTATAGGCCTATATGAATGTCTGAGAGGGGTGTTGCGACTAATCCAGGCTTTTATCTCGCCTCTAACTATCTGATTAAATTCATTAATTAATACCAATAATAAAATATGCTGCAACGAGTTACGAGTAACTTTCCAGGAAAAAACTTAAAATTATGTGTGGCGCCATCTGTTAACATATTTTATTAATATTTTTTATACTGTTAATTATTATAAATTATCAAAAATCTTAACTTTGAGAGTAGAGATGAGTTTTATAAAACATTTTAAATGCTAATAACAAGTAAAATCTTCATTAAGTCCGACATCTCTCGAGATACATGATCTTCCTCTATCTCCCCATCCCCTCGACTTTTAAACATCAAAATTTAACAGCATAAATGCCCATAATCAAACCCCAAACTTTTTGAAATTTTGCAGAGAGGTTTGTGCATTATGGGCATTGTGTATAAGGACAAAAGGCACAGACTTCATGTAGATGAACAAAATCGTTCTCTCCCAGAAACACTAACATTCATACATACAGAATAAACCCTCAAAGTTGTTTGCATTTCTCGAAGTTTCAAGGTCCCGAGTCCCAAAGTGTAAAAATCTCGGGGGGGTTCATTTTCGACCGGTCGCCATACTTTCCCTCCGTTATACAAGGTATATAACAGCCGGGGAAAAAATTTATAAAATTAAATGCTATTTTTGAATTTTTTAAAATAATCATAAAATAATATAACCTTTTATTTATTTATTTATTTTTAGGTCTTTAAATCGCGATATATTAATATAAAATACATTTTAAACTTAGTTTATATAAATTCTTTTAACAATAGCATTAAATAAATACAGCATTAAGACAATACAAAAATTTTAAATATTAGAACAACTGAATGATTAATGACTTAATTTAAAAAAATTATAATTACTTAATACATTCTATGTTGCATTTTCATTTCAAAAACTTCTGTAGTTACTCTACTAATTTCATCTTAATAATTTATATTATTATTATAATTTCTGCCCTAAAATTCGTATATAGTGTGTAAAGCTATAAAAAGTGCTTATCACTACATTACAAGCAACTAATTTTAGCTGCATATTTGTATGAAATATTTGCGTTTAATTTATGACAAGTGATTTTACTAGTGACTAGCATAGTCTATGGTTAAACTATATTCTTGACAAAATTAATCAACATTAATTATGCTTATTCGTTAATTTTTAGTAAAATAACACTATAATTAGTCTATTTTATTTTAATTTTTAGATTAATAAAATGGCTTCCCAATGAAATGTTTTAAAATATATTAATCTTTAAATATAAACTATATAAATATTTTATTAAGTACCATGTATTAAATATAGAAAGTGATTTATAAGATTTATTAAATAGTTTTTAAAATAGGCTATATATCAGTAAACCTATAAGTTGAATTTTAAAAAATAATTAATAATTAAGTAACTATAAATAATAAATAAATAATCTTTTCATACATCAGAGATCCGCAACTGGCACGCGTGCCAAGCATGTCACGTATCGCGATTTTTAAAGACACGCAGCAAGTTCCGGATCGAGAACACAGAAAATTATAAGTTTATTTACAAAATAAAAATAGTACGCTGATCCATGGTTTCATTTGTCACAGAAAACGTAAAAAGTTGCCGATCCTTGCTTTAGATTATTTTTTGTATGTTCTTTATAACTTTAATTCTTTCGTTTAAATAGCTACACTCAACACAAAGAGTTCTTAGGGACTCTTCTCATTGGAGAAGCATTATGAACTAAAACCTCTTGTGTTAAGTGTGGATTCCTAAACGAGAGAACTAATACACAAGTTCTAAAAATATAAAAGAAAAGAAAATGAATGGAAAACTATTATAGCTTATTAATTACTAGTAATTTTGAAATTATATATCTTGCTATAATCTCTTGCTTGAATGTCGAAGCTTTACAATATATAGGCTATGTATTATATAGGCCTATATTGTAAAAGAAACAAAAAAAGAAAGAAAAAAAATAAAGGGTTTTTCATCCACAAAAAAATTAAATGAAATGAATAATATCTACAAATATCGTTTTCAAATATGAAAAAAATTATGAAATATAAAACAAAAATAAATATCGTTTTCAATAATGTTCTAATGTTTAATTAATTAATAAAATAATATTAGAATTTTGTATTAATTAAAATTCAATAATATGATGTCATCAAGAGAGTCCTAGTCAGAAATTTAAGCAGTTAGTCATTGTGTGTTTTAGATTGTTAACTGTTACATGCAATGCAGATTTAAAACACTAACAATAAGAATTAATGTAATCTAAATATTTTTATAATTTTATATCATATTATGAGAATTAATGCTTTACATTAAATTGGTTATTTAATGAAAAAATAATTTAATTTCTTTATATTTAAATAAATGCTGCATTACTTCGACGCACTCTAACTTTTTAAATGGAATTTTTAGAAGGAAACTTGTATTATTAGAAGAAAGTAGTTTAAAAGAATTTATTAAAGAGTAAAAACGTTAATAATGTACAGTATTTAAAATAAAGTATAATTAAGAGAAAATATAAAATAAACAAGAAATATTATAGAATTTTCTTATATAGACTTATGAAGAGTGATAAAATAAATACTGTACTTCTAATTTAAAACGAACTACAACTCCAGTCGAAAATATATAGAAAATGGTCTTAAATCCGAAATCTAGATCATTTATTCAAAAATATATTTTAATTATTAATTTTTCGTTAATTTTTTAGCCTTATTTAGATTACAAAATTCCAAAATTCCATTAGCAAAATTTTATTGCGAAGAGCAATATAAAATCCATTTTATTTTTTTACTTTAATTGTAAAATTATTGTTTCTGTACATAAATAAATATAATATAGAATATGTTTAATAAATATAAAAAAATTATAATATCAAAATTTATTTCAAGAAAAATATAATTTTTAAAACTAGTCTGTCATTATTTTTTCAGATGTTACTTTTAATGACCCATAAAAACATGTTTAGCTTTTTATTTATTATAAGCATTATCTGTGATAAAGGTAAAGGTGCTTGTGATAAAGATTTCAGTAAGGAAGTTGTTTGGGAATGTATCAGTCTATGTTTCTAAGGATGTTGATAAATTGCTTATCATTGGAGGGGCAAGGAACAAATTTATTTTATTATATTTTAAAATGAAATCAAAACAACACATAATATATATTTAAATTTTAGTAAAGATAATTTTAAATTTTTATTTAAATTTAATTAAAAAAATATTATTCATTCTAATGTGTCAGTGTAGAAAGGAGTTTGCAAACTAAGTATAATTTTGGAAAGGGGATAAGGAAAAAGTCCCTAATTTAAACAATTAAAATTTAAATTTTTAAGTGGTATTCTTAACAAATAATAATATTAAATATAGTATCAAGATTTTAATTGCATTAATTATTCGTTTTTAATTAGCGTAAATATCTTCACCTAATGAAGATAAGCGAATTTTCAATCAGTTCCATTTATATAATTCTAGATAAATCATAAGCTTTAATTCTAAAATTTTATAAAAATATTAAAGTATTAAAAGATACAAACAGCTAACAACTAATTTCAAATGCTTTAATTTAATTTTAATTCTATTTTCAGAGCCAAAAAAAAAAAAAAAATAGTCGCACAAACTTTAATNTAAAAAACAAATAGTCGCACAGCACACAAAATAGCACTAATAAATTGTTTAAACAGATTTTTACGGAGGGAATAAGAAAATCAATATACAAATAAAACGTTAGCGAGTGACACATTTAAAAATTTGTCATCAATTCACATCATTTCAAATATATACCGTAATTGTATAAAAAATAAATTTGTTTAATATTAATTAAATTATCTTATAAAATTGATAACAAATAGTAGATATATTTAAAATTTTAATTAATAAATTTAATTTTCAAATATATACCTTTATATAAATAATTTACTAAAAAATGTAACTCAATAATTATTTTTCATTTATTTTTAATGCTCTTTATTATTATGTATAAGTAAATTTATTTTGTATATCAATTTATTAAATCAATGGTTTGTTTACTCACGAAATTTTTATAGGTAACATTATAATACATTGTTATTTCTACATTCTCTACGGCAAATACAAGAAAATACATCTCATTACATTGATGGCTAATTTTTGAACGTATATTATGGCTCAAACGTCAGTTAACCA